TGTGTCTGAAACGCCTCTAACTTGGGCCACATTTACTCTACATAGACATATTATATCTTTTTGGAATCAGGATGATCCTAGGATTCAAAATATACCCTTCATCTGGTGCTTGAGCATCAGCATTGGGATTTGTGTCCAGATGATGACGGAACAATTTGACGTGAGGTTTTGAAGTTCCACAGAGCTTGTGATTTGAAGAATTCAATTTTTGGCCTGAATTGGAATTTCAGCTCTAATCAGACTTTTGGCCCAAATCAGTCTTTTGGCTAGAATTTGACCAATAACCCAAATCAGTCTTTTAGCTGCAATTGGACTGATTGCCCAAATCAGAGTTAAAGTGAGGTTTTGAAATTCCATGGGGTGAATTGAGGAATTCAAAGTTATTTCTTCAAAATTATCATTGTGGTTTTCTAAGTTGGATCAGAGGACCCTTTAGTTTTGGGCTTCACCAGCTTAAAAGTGCACATGGAGTGTTGGCTTTTAAGCTATTAGTAAATATATGAACAAAGAATTTAAAGCCTGATCATCCAACCCCAAATTTTGGTAAAATAGAATTTCTTAACAGATATCACTTCTAATTTAAAATCCACTCCTCTTTCTATATGCTATGTCCCTTCAGGATATTAGCGATCATGTCTCTCCACAACTTTCTGTCCTTTGTGCACTTAGTAAAGTTTGTCTTTTTGCTATCTCACCTAATCCCTGTCCTTCCAAACATTTACACAAGTTTCTTCTTCAGGACACTGGAGATCATGTCTCTCTGCAATTTTCTGTCCTTTGCACTCTTAGTAAAGTTTGTCTTAGTGTTTTAAGTTTTGCATAGGGGTTCACTATTTGCCCATAGCTGGGACTAACAGGTATTACCACCTCTGGTCAGGGTGGACCTGGGAACAACAGCAATTAAGAGTTGATTCCACACTCCTCAAAACCTTCAATCTCTTGATCAGATGTCTTGCAGTTGGATGTACTTTTTCATCATACCCAGAACTAGGAAAGATTTTAAAATTTTTTTATTTAATATTTTTGTTTCTATCTAATAAGTATAACTATTGGTTAAATGTTTGTGACTAGCACTTTCAACTATACTTCTGGCCATTATCAAGGAAAACTATGAGTATTATAAAGTCAAGAAATTTAAATTTAAGTAATTGGAATAGGAAAATGTACTTTTCAGAAATTGATTTTTGTCTTGTTTTTTTTTTTTTTTTTGCAGGTTATTTTAGTCCTACTAATTAAGCCATGGCTTGGAGGAGAAGAGGTGGATTCATGCCTTTCCAAAGGGTATTTTTGTGTATGTGAATATAACAAACCTGACTGGAATTGAAACTCAGCTCCTTGATTTCCAATTTCAGGCCCTTATACCATTACCCCACCTGTACATCCAAGTGTACAGCACCTGATATTCCCAAGCAGTCACTCATCTAGGTACTGACCAGGATTGATGTTGCTTAACTTCAGTGATCATATGGGAACCAATGTTTCAACATGATATGACTGTAAGCCTTAGAGAAATTGAGCAAGTTATTAGGAGATCAAAGAATAACATTAGAAATTATATTTACTGGACAATTATCAGGGCAGAATAGGGGCTCTAAGCATTTGAAAGATGCTGGTGCCCCAAGCACTTAAAAGATTTTGGTGCCTCCCTATATCTGCGAGTTAATTATGCTAGCATGAAGTTTTGGTGAGTAGTGCAAAAAAAAAAAGAAAAAGCGGGCATCAGCTGAGAATGTACAACATGGAAACACCAGCTGGAAATAAATGTAGAAGGAAGCAAAGACACAATTTTGTCACAACTGTAGAAAACACTTGAAACAATGAAAATTTATTTCTACTGACAGATGTTGAGAATACATTGGACAGATGATATGAGAAACTATGAAATTCAAAAGGGTATGTGTTCATATGTAAACAATTAAGAAGCATACAAAAACTTGGATTTCTCCTACAGACCAATTATTTTTTTATGGTGACTGTTGTGAAACAAATTTCTCAATATCTCATGGGTATCTCTGTTTTCTTTTTGATTCAGAAGTTAGGATAAGTAAGGATAACAATACCCTTGGGAAAGGTATGAATCCTTTTCTTCTCCCCCCAGCTATGGGTAAATAACAGGACAGACTGGGTTCTATAGCCTTGGATGGCAACTGGTCTACCGCAGAAAAGAATGGCAATCTACTGTGGGAAAAAATCTGCCTCGTCAGTCATGTATTAAAAGAAGCATGATTGTCTAAGCATGTATCACGCATGGCACATAACTGACTGAAGGATAACAATATTTAAAATGGTCAAGCTCAAATCAGCCTTGCACTCAGTTAAAACAACCAAACCTCTTACTTCATAAGTAGGGCTACAAAACATATCTGAATGATGCCATTGGAAAGAGAAAGATTCTGTCCTTTCCAGAAATGGGTTCATAAAATCATGCAGGTGACCAAGACCCTTTCCAGTTCCTTCATTTCTTGCATCATAGGAAAATGTATTTATTTTTTTAAATTCTTTATTATTATTATTATTTTATTTATTGATTTAATTTCATTTTACCACAAAACAAAGAAGTTTCAATGAAGTACCAATAAACTGTTGCTAACAATTAGAAAGTAGTCCTGGGTATGATGATAAACCATATCTGGCAGCAAGGCTTCTGTTTGGGAGATTGGAGGGTTTGAGGAACATGGAACTATCTCTTAAATGCTGTTGTTCCCAGGTCTACCCTGACATGGGGGTGGTAGCACCTGTTAGGGCTCCAGCTATGAGCAAATAATGATCCCCAAACAAAAATAAAACCCTATAAAAGTATAAAAATATATTTTTATAATAAAAATACCAGCAATACATTTTTATATAAAAAATTACCAACAATACATATTTGTAGTAAAATTACCAACAATACATTTTATAGTAAAATAACCAATAATATATTTTGTAGTTGAAGGCATACAATCGCATTCAAAATATATTTTTAGTTGAAGCCAATAAAATTGTGTTCAAAATAGTTTTCAGCTTTAAATAACCCATAGAGGTGTTGATATGCTGCTAAACAAAATCAACCAAAAACAATTAGAAAATGACTGCTAAATCATTTTGAATGCATACTGAGGAAAGACGTCTTAGAGAATTTAGCACTTACAGGGCATGTAAAAACAAGAGAAACAGAAGGAAGCAGTGAGTAACCTACTTTTTCAGCAAAAAGATGAACGAACATTGTAGAAATACGACAAAAACAAAGTAGGGTTGTAAAGGAGTAAGTAGTGTGGTGTGCAGCAAAAGCAATGCAAATCCATATGCCCACTTGAGCAGAAGATGACACAAGGCTGCATTTAAAAAGCGGGAATCCAAGGCATTTAGAGAGGGGAGATGAAGTATGTCTCTCCACGTCAATTTTTGTTTGGCTTTTAGTTTGTTTCTCTCCATTTTTATACGCTAAAAAAGTTTTAATAATTTTATATTTCTGAAAAAAAAAATTGCACAAAAAGGTGCTCAAGCCATAGTTAATGTTAAGTTAATTCCTGTAAAAATTTTCCCTATTTGATAGCTGTGGAAATTATTTGTGAACTACCTTGTTATTGCTACTTCCAACTACTTTTTAAGAAAACTGCTAGTTTTAATTAAACTAAATTGAAGAAAATATCTAAAAAATGTATGAACTGGTAAGATGAAGAATAAAAAAATTCCTTCATATACATTTCGTTTTGTTTTCCCCTTTCGCACACGCACATTCATCTTACCCTCCACCCAATTTCTAATTGCTAGAAACGCTTTTGGTTTCACGCGCACATTTGTTCAGAATAGTCCAGTCGACGAGGAATTTATCCTTAGCCTTTGGGTCACCTCAGGCACCAGGGACGACCATGGTTAATTCATGTTAGTTAAGGCCAAAAGATCAGAAGCTGTGGGGATCTGATATCGCCTACGTTTGTAAGTGCTAACGAGCGAGATGAATGAATTAAAGTAGTTTCCCGTCTCTTTATCCTTTATTGATTGGATAGAGAGACTTATTTGTTTATATTCACACTTCGTCAAATCAAAATCTGATTCAGTCAGTTCAAGATCGACCATTCTTTCGAGTTCATATTATTCAATTAATTCTTTGTAATTCTAAAATTCAAATAGTGAAAAATAGATTTGGTAACTTGTGTGAAACGAATTGGTAATTACTTAATTACTGTGTACTACACAGTATAGTAGTAGCACTACACTACTATTTGTAAGTTAAGTAGTGTACTAACTACTAGTACTATTGTTGTTCTTAAGACGTTACTTTTTTAACTTTAAAATAGATCAATTTCAGCGGTTCTTTAAAAGAAAGATTCGTTTGTGGACGAAGAAACATTGAAAATAATTTGATTGTTAACGTCGTTCAATAATCGTTAATTGATCGATTAAGCCAACTTTTTATTTGTGACGATACACCGGTTGTCTGCTTGCGGGCACAGAAGAAAAGATGGTCTGCCGGGGCGGCAACTAAACAACGTAAAGAAGCTGATCGCTCATTGGCCAGAACCTATTTTCCCGTGATGCAATTGGACCGGAAGCCGACGGTTGTCATCAGGTGGAGGCCATCAGAAACGGGCAAGTAGTAAAGGCAGGAGAAAGCAAAAATAAAGACTTCTTGCTTTGATTGTTGTTGTTAGCCAAAAATAAAAAGAAAATACTCGGTGTAACGGATTATCACAGCTGAAAAAGATAGTGCCGAGCTCAACGACCAGAACCACTCCTGCTGGCTAAATATCAGCATTTTCCAGTTTAAAGACGATAGACAGTGGGAGTCATTAGCCTGGAATAAAAAGAGACGGAAAGCGACATCGGAGAGAAAAACCGGTACATTTAAGTTAGATTTTTTAAAATCTACTATATAGGAAAAATAACTTCGCTGCTCGACCGGGTTTGATAGTTAATGTATCTGTCACATGAACCAATAGTATCTTCTTTTCTAAATAATATTTAATCAATAAACATTTAATAATACTGTTTTTTTTTCTTAAAGATCAGTTATTCAAATGCCTACTTTTTCAAAGCCCCTCTTTTTCCCCTTATACTATGCTCAGTTTAAAAATATCGTTTTTAGCTCTTACATGCAGAAATCATTTTGATTTTTAACGACCGAACAGCTATTTTGTAATCGTTATTGGATCTATATACCTTACAGAGATTAAAAAAAACTGTTTCTTTTTACGAACACAAAGTGACCATTGAAATTAAAACTCAAGGAAAACTGATAAAGAATTAACAAAAACTTTTTTCAAATTTGTGATTTATTTTCCTGACTTATTTATTTGCTCATCAAGAAAAAGGACAAGTTTTTTTTTTCTGACATTATTGAATTATTACCATAGGAGCGAGAGGAGATTCTAATAATACAATTTACAATTCCGTAAGTATTTTTTTTTTTGTTTTTGTGTGTTTATAATTTTACGATATTTTACATTACTACAGAACAGTGATTTACACTCAGTTACAACTAAAACGGTTATTATTAATAAATATTCAAGTTAAAATGATTAATGACCAAACCTTTCAGTATTTTTTCTTTCTTTCGTCTGTACCTTTATATTCCCCCCCCAAAAAAATTATGGGCTTGAAAGTTAATTTTTTTTAAATAAAATGTGTAACGAATTCTTTTCCTTAAACAAAAAAACAAACATTTCTAACTAAAATGGGAGTTACATTCCCTGTCAGTCCTGTTCAAAATAAATTTTAATTTTTAGTAAATGTCAAGTGAAGAGGATAAATTTTTTTTTTTACACTACAATCTTGTCAAATTTTTCAGTTTAAGATTATTTTTTAGGTTTGACAGGATCAGGAGTCTCGTTGCTTGGTATATAATATTTAAATAATTTGTTACTTGTGTTTCTTAGACAAACATCTCTAAGAAGGAAGAAAAAAAACTACTAGTAAACTTGTTTTAATTTTAAAGGGTCTAATGAAAAAAAATGTTACCCATAAATTACCTTCTTCTTGTGTGTCATTGTACCCGTCCCCAACAAACTTCTCGCACTTTATTCGCTATCATATCCTTTGAGCGCCTTAGTGTAAAAGTAAAAAGTCACATTTTTTGTTTAAAAAGTGTATGTTGGTTTATTTTATTTTTCTTAAACAGGATTTTTAATGTTCTTGACGTTAATTCTCTATTTTTGTCTTGGTTAATAATTTCATACGAGACCAGAATTTCCTCTGCACTTTGATTGAAAAAGTAAAAAAAAAAAAAGCCCATTGTGGTGGTGAAATTTTCTCAGATTCATTTTATAAAAAGTTATTTAAATGAAATGTCATCAATGAGAAATAGCAAAAACATTTCGGTCAGTTTTTGAACAGAATCATATTGGGGAACTAAAACGCCAAAGAAAGTGACCTCGTCCACTACACCATACCATGGCATAGAATAATTTTTTTTATTGTTTTCTGTATCATCCGATAAAGTTAATGAAATTTTATATATCTTGTCCTTTTATATGAAATTGAAAAACATATCGCATGTGCTGTCAACAGTTTTTTTAAAAAAAAGTAGATCTATATATAATTCATGTATGAGATGGATTCTTATGTCAAAAAGTCAACATCTCATTTGACTTCAAAATAAAATAGAAAAAGAAAGGGAAGTGATTGTTTTAACTGCGAAATTTGACTATCGATACAATAATCAATAATAATGGAATTATTTTTCAAAATAGTTCAATTCAAACAAAAAAGGCAATCTTGAAGTACATCCTGGATTGTTGACACACCTTGCATAATTGAAAATAAACTAAAATTTGGACGAGAAAAACATTTTAAAAATTCTAGAGATATGTTACGACTGTCACCTTCAGAATAACATTCGTTCAACTTTTGTCATTAAAAGACGGCGAGGTGTGTGAAGTTGGAATAAATGGGAATCAAGCTCAGATTGTCAGTTCCCCACCCTTATTTTTTTTAAAAAAAAAGAAAAGAATTTAGTTTTCCACCCACTTCTTTTTTTTCCAAAAAAAAAGTTTGAAAAGGAAATCATCCAAATGTGAAAGAATGTTGAACAAACATTTAACTTTCGAGGCTAGTTTGATTTATCTAGCCTAGTTTCTTCCTAATTTTTCCTTTTTTCATTACCCTGTTGAAAAGGGGTGACTAAAAAATGTATAAAGAAAGATTGAGATTATTCACAAATAGGGTCTTTATTTGCTAGACGGGCGGGTATGTCAGCAGCAGCTTTGTTTTTAATGCTGTTTTTATTTTTTGTTAAATATATTGCATACCCCACTGAATGAGCAATGAAGATGTATTTTTCTGATTGGCATTGCACAAACCAACTAAAGTTTCAGTTTTTACTTATTATTATCACTAAACTTAAAAATTTAGGTGTGGAGATTTACGCGAAATATTTTTTTGTGGGCGAATTTAATTGCTTAAAAAAAAACTGATTTTTAGTCATCAGAAAAATATTCTTTTTCACTAAAAACTAAAACGTCTTAGAAAATATTTTAATAAAAAAAATGAAGAAAGTTTAAGTCTGGTTTTACCTTCATGATGAAGTATTTTTTCTCCCTCGAAATTAAACTTGCTTTGACTTTTTTGGAGAAGTTTAAAAAAAAAAAAAAAAAAAACATTCGAAAGAAATTAAATTTCTGAACTATTACCTCTTTTGTTGGACTATATACCTGTCACTGTTAAAAATGACATTTTGTTATCGTCTCTTTTTTTTTTTTTTTGTCTTGTGCACAATGGGTGGGGTGGAAACTTCTCCTGCTCCTTTTAAACCACATTCCAATAAATTACTGGAAACGTCATGTGAACTTTTTATTTAATCATGGTTTTATTGTTTTTGTTTTTAATAAAAAAAAAATAACTTGTCCATATTGATATTTTTATATCTCTAAAATCAAGTAAGAAAAAAAAAAAAAGGACTGTCAGTGTGAAAAACTCGTACAGTTACTACAGTACACTTTCAATCTGAAGAAGGCTAAGAATTGCCTGCCTATTCCTAAGCACTTTTCATTTAGTGATTTAAAAAAAATATCACAATACATTTACACTTACAGTCAATAATACTCAATAAGCTGATATAGATGAAAAGCTGCCTGTTAATTTTTAATTACACTTTCAGTGTGTGTGTGTGTGTACATACACTTCTACTTCTATTAGGATGTGTTCGGTTTGTAGTAGACATCCTCTTGTATTAAAAAAAAAAAGCAAATTAAAATGATACTTCTATTAACGGATCTTTAAGTATTAGAAATGTGACGCGGTTATGAAACCAGAGAGCGCTTATAAGACAAATTCTATTTGGTCATTTTTGGGGAAATGGTTCGGGCAAAAACTTTACAACATACCCTGGTATTTTGTTTGCCTTAAAACCCTTTTTAGCCTTGGACTCTCCATAAAGAAGAATGACTGAAACGTATCAGTTTCTAGCCTGTTGTTATAAATCTGGATTGTCCATCAGTAAATTAGGAAATGAGTTTTTGAAGCATAAGTTAAAAAAGGCAACTTTATAGTTCGAAATCCTGTTCACACGCAATTGAACCCCCTCACCTCTTTAACACATTGACTGTCAGAGGTCAGTTACGAAATCAGACTTCAAACCACTTGATTTAGCTTCAACTGAAGTCTTAACATTTTGTTCACACTAAACACTGAATAAACTCGTTGGCAGTCACTGGGTTGGTACTTACATTTAACATTTTGACTGATCTGCACTTCAGTCCTTATGCCTATTCTTTGAGAAAAGAGGATAACCATAAAAAAGATAAAGTTTTCCTCCTTCTCATGGAATACATGTAATAAGGTTTAAAGAATGACCTTGCCAAAATGTGTTAATGTTACCTTTAGTATTCAAAGAATCTTTTAATTTTTGGTATATTTGATATTTTAATGACTTCAATTAGTTACAGAGTACAACTTCGGCACATAAACTATTAACGTTATCAAAAACAATATATGCACTTGAAAAACTCCCACATAAGGAGTTTACTTGAGTAGTGTTTTAGAAATTTATAAAGTTAACATCCTCTATTGGAATATTGGTATTGCAATTATTATAATTAGATGAATGATCTGACCTCAATGACAGGCACTGTATTTGTACTATGTTTACAGAAATATGGTCATTTCTCTTCTTGGGTATTCTTGTTTTTTATGTGAGGTTCATTCAGGAAAATAGTCAATCACTGCTCCCTAAAAATGTAGAAATGTAATTTCTTTATCATTGAATTATGACATTTTGTGAAAGATAGCAAAGTGGTTTTCTGTTGCCTAAAGCTAAAGAACCCAATCTGATCTACCCACAGCTGTAGTGAATAGATTAATTTTTTTTTTTTTTTTTTTTTTTTTTTTTTAATCAATTCACCCCAAGCAGTGCAATAATGTTACTAAGACACAAGGGGTTTCTGGAAGTGAAAGAGAATAAGACTTTAGAAGTAACCGGAAACCCAATCCTAAACAGTAAAAAAAATAATCCGTTCAGAAGACTGAGGAGGAGTGGGAACCGGTTGAGAGGCAAATCTATCTACTCTTATTGAGAAGAAAAATAATTAGTAAATAAAATTTTAGAGCCAAGTAAATAAAAAAGAAAAATATTACTAGTGGCCAAGTAAAAATAAAAAAAAGTATTACTAATAGGCAAGTAAATAGAAAAAAATATTGCTAGTAGCCAAGTATATTAGTAAATATAAACAAACCCTGAATATTTGAATTGATTATTTTCTTGACAAGTTGTTTAAATCCATATAAATGATAATTATCATTTATCCCTGTATTCTGACTTCTTGTAATGTCTGTCTATATAATATGTTATGCCTTTTTGTCTTTAGCATTTAATATTCCTCCAAAGATTTTACAAGGTTGCAGAACTGAAGCATTTTATTGGACCTAACTTTCACTTAACATAGAAAATATAAAAAAAAATAATCGAAGTTCATATATCCTTCTAGCAAATTTATTTGATTCCATTTTTGTTCTCTTAACTTTTTATAGAACAGTTACTGACTGCTTCGTGCAAGAGTCAATTTTCATTCTCCAGAAATAAATTAAAGTCACATATCACGATATACAATTTCATTTAGTTGAGTAGAGAATTTTCCAGTTATTTCTTTTTTTTTTTTTTCTCATTTGATTTGCTACTTTGCCTACTAATTTTACTATTGCCTTTTTTTTTTCTCTCTCAATAGAAAACATAATTCAGCAACTTTTAACTTCTGTTTGTATTCAATGAACCAAGTTGATTTTGGTGGAATAACTTTGCACTGTAGCAATTTGTTTACTCTTTGTTCATGTGCATTCACTTCTAAAAAGTAACTGGATGAATTTTCATAACAGATAAAAATTGCCCTTTTCAGTGATGACTTTATCTTCAGCCTCTCTATTATTAAGGGTGTTTAATTTAAGGAATTCAAAGACTATTTA